GTGCAAGGAGCGGAGAGAAAGGAGGGTGTTGAGCCATATTTGAGGCTATCTTGGAGCATCGGAGGCCTTCTTGGAGCTACGGGTCTGTATCAGGGGATATTAAGGTCCTCTTAGGGCATCTTAGGACCCTCTTAGGGCTCTTTGGGGAGTCTTGGTGTCCTCGTGGGGCTCTCTTGGGGCGCCTCAGGGCCCTCATGGGGCCCTCTTGAGGCTCTCTTGGGGCTCTCTTGGGGCCCTCTTGGGAGCTATGGAGCGCCTCCTGGGGCCATCTTGGGCACCATCGATCAAAGGAGGGTGGTCCTCGATTTCCCCCCTCCGGGACCATGGAAATAGCGTCTTGGGGCGATCTTGGGGCTTTCTTGGGGCGATATTGGGCGCTGTTGGGGGCAGTCTTGGGGGCCTCTTGGGCCCTGATTGGAGCTCTCTTGGGCCATCTTAGGGCCATCTTGAGGCTTCAAAAGAGCATCGGACACGAAAAGGCCAGAAGGCAACACTCAGTGATTTCCTTGGGTTTTGAACGATTTTGGGGAGGTCCTGAGGGGAGGTCCTGAGGGGTCGCCAGAGCCACCTGGAACCGTCTTGTGGCCATCTGGGGGACTCTTGCGGTATCTTGAGGCATCTGGGAGGCCATCATGAAGCATCGGCTGCCCTCTTGGAGCCATATTTGGCCATCTTGGGCGCTCTGACACCTCCGGGTAGGGCGAGGGGTAAACCCTTCCCCGAATGGGAAGAGGTTTTTTGGAAGAGGGAAGAAATATATCGTTAGAACCTCTACGCCAACAGGACTTGACGAAGAGATCGACATTGCAAAATCAAGGGGGCTAGTATGTCCTGTGAACCCGTGGATTGTGTTACCACTTGCTCACGCCAGGCTGTGCTGCCAGAGCCACCCTCCTTGGTCCGGATTCTGAGTCCGAGACTGTGTCCCTCCCCTGGGCTGCGAAAACAGTGCTGCCAGAAGTCTACTCGGGATGCGATTCCGAGTCTCATCATACAGCCCTCACGTGCGCGACAAGTTTCATGTTATGTTGTCGTGACAAGGGGGGGGTGAACCCATGCAAGTAAGCTCGCCAGAATCTCAATGACAACTGCCACCAGGCCAGCAGGGCCCTCGGCCCTGGGGGTCTGTTCTCCTCGTCGCCGTCCCAGTGGGCTCTTCGTCTCCGGGCTTCAGGGCGGAGAAGCCGCCGCCGCCCGCCTGCGACGGGGCAACCGCGACGCCACATGGCGCCGCCAGGTCGCTCGGGGACAGAGGTCCCAGCAGACCCCCGACGTCATCATTCGTTCATTACCTCGACCCCCAGAGGTCTCGACCCTTTTTTCGGGACCAGCTTTTCATCCAGAGTCGCGTTTTGACGGTCTCGTGGCTCGCGAAGGGCCCCCCCGAGGCCGAAGTTAGCTGGAAACATGCCGTGACGATTCCTCTTTTTCACGATCCCGAGCGGGGTCTGGGGCAGCGGCGCCTTCCCGACCGTCGCCCTGCCAGCAGGGAGCGAGCTCGCTGCCAGGGGCGGACGCGGTTTCTGGGTCCCAGATCGGTCAGCCCCGTGCTCCGCTCGCCTGGCATCGCTCGGACATGTGTACCTTTTTCTCGGCGAGGACCCTCGAGGACCACCTTGGACCATCGAGCAAAAAAAACACGCACGAACCCGAAAAATGCACGGGAAATGGACGTCCGAGCGATGGCGAGCCCGCGCCGCGATCGAGCGGAAGCGCTGCCGCGGTGGGCGGGGGCCCAGGCGGCGCCCGCGCCGGGGCCCGCCTGCTGGCGGAGGTTGGTGGCCCTCGGCAGGTGCAGGCAGGTTTCAAAAGGGTGCGCCCGCCGCAGCGGCGCGGGCTGGCAGAGGGAGCTCTCGACCAGGGGGCCACATGCGAACCCTACCCCCACCCCACACGATTTCTGAGGAGGAGGGCGGGGTTCACTTCATCCGGGAGCTCCCGAGCGAAGTGAACCCCAGCCTCCACCTCAGAAATCGTGGGGGGCGGGGGTAGGGTTCGCATGTGGCCCCCTATCGACCAGGTGCTCTTCTCGTTGGGGGGCGAGGTCCGCCCGGCCCCTGTCGGATGAGCGGGTCAGGAAGGCCACGGCGTAAGCCAGCGCAGCCTACCAGCCGTGCCAGGGGAGGTTCTCCGGGATTTCGTCCGCGGGGGCTGAATCCCCGGAGGAACTCGCGGCACCCTTCGGCGATCCAAAGCCTGGGGTCTTCGTGGCACCAGGCGGTGGCCAGCCCGTCGCTGGCGGCCTGGGCTGCTGCGACCGCGTCCCAGCTCGCGTCGAGGTCTGCGCTGAGCTGGCGGACGTGTTCAGCCATGGCAGTCTCGATCGGGTTGTCGTGGCGATCGGACTTGGTCGGGGCCTTGACTCAGAGCGTGTACTACCTACCCCGCTTTCGCTTCCAGGCAAAACCAAGTCATACCACGCGCCTCCTCGTCAAGCGGCCTGACCAGTACAGGCCGTAGTTTGGCATCGCTTGGTATCTCTTGGAAGCGAGGGTGGTCAAAAGCGAGGTAGGTTTGTTCCCCCCCTATTGACGGCGCGTGCCACTGCTCGCCACTTTGGGGCAGGGGGGGCGGCGCCAGGCCGTCCAGGGCCCCAGGGTGACCAGTAGCCTGGGCGGGTCGGCAGCCAGCCCCGTCGTCGGCGGCCGCGGTGGTGCGGCGGGCTGGGCGAGGCCGGCTGGCGCGGCGTGGGCGGGGAAGTCACCACCCACCACTCCATTTCCAGTGGGGGGGGTCCAGGGAACAACGAAAAAACACGTATGGAACCCGTACCCCCCCCAACCCGAAATTCTGGTCTTCGGGTTGGGTTGGGGTGGTCTGGTAGGCCGTCAGGAAGCAGGCGCCTGGTTGTGCCCAGGGGTGCCTGGCTCGGCAGTGTGGCCGCAGGCGCTGTGGGCAGTCCAGGAGACTGTGCTGAGAGACTGCCCACGTCTTCTCAGGCAGGGTGCTCGCGGACCCCCTGGGGAGGTCGAGGCGGATGCCTCCCTGGCGGCGCGATGCCCAACGTCGGGCCCGATCACCCAGGCAACGCAGAGCGCTGGAGTGAGCTGCTTGCGCGCTTCCGTCCAGGACCAGCCGTCCAGGTCTGGGGCGCCGTCGCTGTGTGTGGAGGAATCCGCGGAGAACGACGGTGTCCTGGGAGGCTGGGGCATTGTGGCTTGGGCGGTGCGCAGCGCTTGTCTAGGTAAGCGGTCCACAGCCACTTGGCGGCGAGTTGGCACACACACACACGCACACGCACACACACACACACACACACACACACACACACACACACACACACACACACACACACACACACACACACACACACACACACACACACACACACACACACACACATACACACACACACCGTACCAAGCCGAGCAGCTCGACTCGGCCGAGTGGACCCAGACACCGCCCCACAAAGATCCAAGATTGCCCTTGGGACACTACCGAGATGCTCCGAAAGCGGTCCAAGAGAGCCCCCAGGAAGCTCTTGGGAGGCCAGAATCACTGTTTTCCCGACTTTTTGGGGGACTGATTTGTCACATTGCCGTTGGTTCTATCTTGCGAACATCCACGACGCTCAACAAGCCCCAAATATTTGTTCTAAACTCAGAGCGTGTATTACCTACCCCTCTTTCGCTTCCAGGCAAAACCAAGTCATACCACGCGCCTCCCCGTCGAGTGGCCTGAGCAGTGCGTGCCGTATTTCCGCATCGCGTGGTAGCTCTTGGAAGCGAGGGTGGTCAAAAGCGAGGTAGGTTCGCTTGCCCCCTATAAACGGCTTTTGATGGCTGTGTGGGGGCCCCAGCTGGCCCTGAGAGGGGCCCGAGGCGGCCCCGGGAGGCCCGAGGAGGGCCACGAGAGGGCTGCGGCGGCTCCAGCAGGACGCCAACAGGCGCTCAAGATTGTCTCGGGGGCCTCCAGACGAGCAGTGCTGCAAGATTTTTTTGAGGGATGAAAAAACGACCCAACCTCGGATTACAAGTGCGTACACTTCCTGGGAACCCCCCAAAGCCTAGAGCCGCCGGGACGCGGCACATCACGCAGGGTTTACCCTGTCAGCCCACAGGAGTTTCAGAGCACAGCTCCTCGTAAACCAGTATAGGGGCGTTTTTTCTGCCCTTGATTTTTCTCACGAACGCAAAAGAGTGTCCGACCGTATTCTCAAGTGTGTGGTTTTCCCAACGTAATGCTTGAATCGTTGTCTGAATTGTCTCTGTGGTTCAGCAGAGGTGGAAGCTGTGTGTTGATAGTTCCCCACCCCGTGTTAGTTTGAGATTCGTTTGCATCGTGGGTTTCGCCAGAGGTTGTGCTAGACGTTGGGGAAAGGGTCCCGCCATCTGTTGCGCCATCGGTTCCGCCAATGGTTGCGCCGGATGCTTCGCAAAAGGTTGCGCCATGCATTTCTCCACAGGTTGCGCCCTCGAGGCCGGCATGGGCTGCTCCAGTGGCCGCGCCTCGCCACGGGTGGCGCGATCAGTTGCGCCATGGGACTCGCCGTGGGCTGCGTCCTCGGCCACCGAGCCCGAGCAAGCCTGCCAGCGGTTGCGCCAGAGGCTGCTCCCTCGGCCGCCGAAGCTCCAGTCAAACACCCTAATAAGGACGCGCGACTTTGCTCAGGGTGCCCTTGCGTCCTTGCTCTTCCTTGCTCTTGCGGCTCGTCCTTGGCCTCTTTCGCATGCCCGCTTGTCAGGGCACCCTTGGGGTTTTCGTCGTTCGCCGCCCCCAAAAATCCCAACTTCGGCTTCCAAGGGTCTTGCGTCCTTACCGCGCGTCCTTATTCGGGTTTTTGACTGCACAAGCATCTCTCAACGGGCGCGACCTGCCCAGTCTGGTCAGTGAGTCAGCTTGTCGGCCAGACAACCCCCCGGGACAACAAATTTGGGCCAAGCCGTGCATGGGTGCCACTAAACGGGGGGGGGGGGGGCGGGGGCAGGGATGTCAGGAATGTGGAGGTTCTACGGGGTCAGTGGTCGCGGGGGGTCGCCATGAGTCTGCCTGCTTCAGAGGAGAAGCTCACGAACGGCGGCAAGAAGAAGGTGCACGGTGTGCACCACCCGGCCGCCTTGCAGTACCTGGCAGAGCAGCAGGCGCCATTATTCCGCCCTTTTCTTCCACCCCCGCAGCCAGTTTCCGCCGTGAGGTCATCGCCTGGCGTCTCAGCCTCGCAGCGAGGCGATCCGCGCCCGAACAATTGGCGACGCCTTGGGGCCGGGCGCTCCTCTGTGGCCATTCTGGCTCTAACATGCGCGCGTTCGGGGGGGGGGGGCGGTACCAGCGAACGCTGAAGAATGATTCCAGGATCAGCGCTCGCTTAGGCCCGCTGATGCTCTTCTGGACGCGAGACTTGGTGGGTGTGGCAGTTGCAAACCTGGCCTGCCCACCAGTTGGTTGTCGGTGCCGCGACGCTCGGGCACAAGTCCTGCATCTCCGCCCTGCTGGCCAGCCGTGCTCTTACCACCAGTGGCCACTGCGCCTGGCATGCTCAAGACGATTGGCATTGGACGGCGCTATCTGTTGAGGTGCGCACGGGCGACACCCACGGAGTCCGACGGTCGGTGTAGGCGTGCAGCACCGGGTGGTGGGTCCGTCGGCACCCCTTGCTGAAGCTGGTTCGGCGGGTGACGCGCTACAGCGGCAAGCATGGAGGACGCTGGGGACACCACCACCGATGTTGGCCAAGCTTTGGTCAGAATAGGCGTGCCTGGAAGGCCCCGTGAGGCTGGCCCGGTGCACGCTGAGCGCGTCGTCTACGTACCAGCTGGGTCCACGGACAAGGAGCCTCGAAGGCTTGGCAACGCGAAGTGGACAAATTATGAGATCAGATTGCCCTTCTGGAAAGGCGGCGAGTGCTGCGCGTGTTGCGTGAAGTCTGGCCGAGTGCGTTGAGGCGTTAGGCGTATGTCGTACCTTGAGTGTGCCAGCGGAGATATTGATGGGCCATTACTGGGCGCCAGTGTGAGTGGCAGGCTCGGCGTACTCTAGCGGAAGCATGTGGACAAGCAGGACATCGTCGATACGAAGATTCGTGTAGGTCGCGGCAAAGTCGGTGTAGTCGCAGTCGGCGCCAGCGCGGTTGCAGGACAGGATGGACAGCCAGTGGCACCAGGCGTCGATGCGGCGTTTGGAGCAGACGGTGAATACCTATCTGCCTGCGGTAAGCCCACCACCATGCGCGCAGCATCGAAATTGGCACGGGACGGTTCTACCGAGCTCTCCCGAAGTATAGTCAAATTGCTGCAGCATGGCGTGGCCGTAACGTTCCACGCGCAGTCCGTTGCTCAATGGAGTCCTACTTGGAGGCGTGTTAAACTAATATGCGGTCTCCTGAGGGCCTGGTAGTCCTCTTGTCAAAGGCTTCATGGGGGGCTTCTGGGGGACCTCTGGGATGCGGGTTTGGTGTCGTGGAGCAGTCGTGGGCGCGATCATTCAACCAATCTTTACGGAAGAGGTTCGGCGGCGCCATTTTGGGATTGTCTTGACGAGTTCTTAGGCCCGCTTGGACCGCCGTGGAGCAGTCTCTGAGCCTTTTTGGCCATCCTGGTCGTCTTGGGAGATTGCTTGAGGCCTTTGAGGCTCCTTAAGGTTTTCTGGACACAGCTCAGGCAGAGAAGCTACCGAAGCAACAAACACTGGGTCAGTCTCAGCACACTAGCAAGCCGTCTTCGGGAGGCCGCGGGCCGTCTTGAGCCAGCTTGGCGTCGAGACGCGCATCTGGAAGGAACAGGTAAGAGGAGCAGTTTTCCTTTTGAAGACAGCTGAGGCCATACCACACGGGCTGACAAGCATCTTGACGCCTGGTGGCGGACACCGGCACGGACGACTGGCGAGGATGACAACTCGGTGGGACAAAGTGATGTCGGAGGCCCAGAGATTGACACCAACACCAACATCGGCGGTGCGCAGCTACCAAGGAAATGGTAATATTCTGGCTTCCAAAGTGACCGAAATATTGCCACCAACACCGAAATCTAGGATCGTTTTCCCCATGCGGAGGCAACCCCCTGTGTTGGTGTTGGTGCTCATTTCTAGGCCTCCAATGATGAGGCCGATCTGCGAGCAGCGAGCGCCGCACTGATGCCTCCGCCGCCAGCGCAGGGAGGCCATCACCCGACCCCATCCCGACGCTGCCTCCGCTGGAGGTCCACCCGGCGGCCGCGGCGGCCGACGCGGCGTGGCTCGTGGGAGCGGCCGCGGTGGGGGCCGGCCAGCCTTGGGCGGACAGCTTCAGGAGTCTGCGCGGCCGGCCGAGACGGGGGGCCCTGCGGGAGGAGCGGCACACGGGTAGGCGGCGGCGGTGCACATGCCAGCCTCGGTCGGGAGGTTAACCATGCGGAGCTGCAGGGCGCGGCTCGGAGGTGGAGCTCGAGGAGCTGGGCCGAGTGGCGTGACCTGGCGCGCCCCCGGAGTTCCAGCAGGACTCTGCTGCCGGGGGGGGTGGGGGGGCACCCCGGGTCCGCTAGGTCGAGGGACGGCGATGACGAGTTCGGGGAAGGAGTGGCAGTATGAATGTTACGGTTGCATGTGCGCCGGCAGGTGGATGGCCCTAATTCTGGAGCGGTCCAATTGGAAGATCCTCAGGCTACCCTTCGATGGCGAGTGCGTGGAGGATGCCTGCTTCACTACGAAGTCCCCAACGATGGCTGCGGAGCGCTAGCTCGCACGTTGCCGCCAAGTACCTCGAGCAACTGAGCATGCGCGTGTACGTCCAGCAGTGCGGAGCGCATGAGATACTCGCGCATCCGACGTTCAGCGTCCTGCTACTTCTCCTTCTCCTGCTCTTCTCCCCCCTCCTCCTCCTCCTCCTCCTCCTCCTCCTCCTCCTCCTCCTCCTCCTCCTCCTCCTCCTCCTCTTTACATGGCGCAGAGCCGGCGCCAGATGGTGCATGGATGCCAGCTTGGCTCGCTCCCCGCACAGTAACGAGTCTTGTGGCTGTCCCATCGTCCTCGGCCCGAGCATCAAACGCAGCTCAGTTGTGCAGACACGGGCCTCTTCAGTGCCTGGCCGAGGTGTCGCAGTCCGTGCTAGAAGAAAAACGTACGGTTTCGCAGTAGATTCAGTGCATTCTCCTCCTGATTCCGTCCAAGGCTAATCATTTCAAGACATTTTATCTGACTTGCGACGCCATCATTAAGGGTGTGCACAGGTGTTTCCCGATCATTTGCACTCACCTCAACTTGGGTTTTGGGCTCACTAAGTTGCCAGGTACCGAATTGTGGCGAACTGCGACCAGTGCGTATATTGGGCATACTCGGTGGAGACCCTCATCCCGTGTGTAGAAATGCTTGACTTTGTTGTCCTCCACACACACTATGGATAAGGACCGACCTGCATTAGTATTAATGGGCACGGCATCCAGCTCGACTTAATCATTGTGCCCGGATGTGCCTTCCAGCCGACGAGTACGGCAGGACCTTTGCGCAGGATGGGACGCTCTCTCCAGGCAATTTCCACCACACCAGTGAGAGATCACCTCCCAGTCCATGCGCGATTGGCTTAGTTATTCTCTGATTCGCCGGGGCTACCAATGACGGTTGAATATCATCCTCGGTTTGGGTTCCTACACACTCAACACACATGGAACAGTGATGCGCTCGTAGACCGGCTACGACGAGGCACCAATCGTCTGGAATCGCTGCAGCAGGTGGAACAGCGCATCTCAAATGATTTGGATGACTGGGAAGCAGCTTTTAACGAGAGGAGCTGACTCCTAATCGAGAGTGGGCCTACTTGCTTCACGTGCTGAAAGAAGCAGGGGCTCCTATTTCACCAAACAACCATCACCGTCTGCCAACTACCAGCAACGCTTTGACCACGTCAAGCTATTCATTCAGCAACGACGACGGCTACGAGAAGAGTTGGGGCCAGCAACGCATATTAACGCCACCGCCACCATCACTCATGAGCTCAAGGGCGCGACGAAAGAGCTTCGCAAATAATGTCGCATATGCTTCATGCAGTGGAGACAGGATGCCACTGATGAGCTCACTTTGGCGCACCAGCGAGATCGCAAAGCTCAGGGCGCCCGTCTCCCTCGTCCTTTTTACCAGCAAAGGGCACGGGCCCCAAGAAACGCAACTACAAATATGTTGCTGCCGCCACCAGCCGCTCCGAGGACCTCGAGGCTCGCCTCTGGCTTCTGTCCAGCGAAGGAGGTTTCCAGGCCTCTATCGTTGACAGGTTCCAGGAGACGGAGGTTATGCTGTATCCCCCTGAGTTTGGCATCGACACAGAGGAGATATTGTGCCCCTTTCACAGAGGAGGGGCTCCAATGGGTGACTGCGAAGCTCTTGTTGGTCTCCAGATACCTTCAGAAGGCTAGTAATGGACGGGCGGTGCCCCCATGGTCTTCCCCTTTAGAGTTCTTCTGGACGCTCCAGCACCCCCGCAGGCGAATTTCCAAGCGCTTCAGAGGCTCGGGGCACGAGAGCCCCGAGGCCGACCAGAAATGGACCAGGTACATCCTGAAAGTATGTTTGCATCGAGTCGATCGGTCTGGGCAGGCTCTAGTTGTTTGGCATCGACCGCAAGGCGCAGCCATCAGTGCCAAGAGACTGGCGCACGTTCTCTGCCCGTCAAAGCACGTGTAGTTGCAGGGTTCCGCCCGGGTCAGTGCGACCGAGGGCCCCCCATCGTTCGCGGCTGCGCGTCGGGCCGCAGGCGCGAGACGCCAGCGACGACCCAGCAGAGTTTAAGTTGGCGCCTAAGACGCCTCGGTCTTCAGCGCATCAGAGATCATAAAGGCATCGGCAACGCCTTCGGCAGCGCTGACTGGACCCACCTCTCCAGGGCCAACCAGGCCATCACGAAGCCTCTGGAGGTTAAGTTTGGGGGGCAACGATTTCGCCGCGCGGCGGTCGCCGTTCAAGGCCCCGGCGGGTTCCTCTGCGCCTTGCCTCGTGCGGGCGCACTCTTGGGGGCCCGTGGGCCGCCGAGGTTTCCGCCCAGGACATCGGCGTCGCGTTCGAGGAGACCCAGTGCGAGTTTATCGGGGGAAAAGGGGATATCGCTTTTCACTGGCGCATAGTCAATCTACCGCCAGACGAGGAGGACGAGGGACCAATGGAGCTCGACCTTGTGTTTCGCGCG